TTGATGAAAAAGAGCCGATGGTAATTGCCAAGTTGCGGTGAGGAGCCTATCTGGCTTCCTCCCATGTGCACACATAAGGTAGCCACCTGGCAACAGATAAGGCTTATCACCTACAGTAACTCAACGCGGGGCTGCCTGGGCACTGAAAGCTTGAGATCCAACCGATTGCTTAAAACCAGGGATTCAACGGCGCTGAATCTGCATGCAACACGGTACTGTACTTACATGAGAGCCAAGTTTCCTCTTTATCTTCTGTTTCTTTGTTCATTTGCCGTGGTAAGCTGGCACGGAGAGCGGGACGCAAGCCACAACTTGGCCGTTCCTCAATTATATTTATCGACAATTAAAAAAAGATAATAATGATTATTTCATTTTCATGGGATAAACGCTCTGCCATCGCTGAATAAGTCGCGTATTCCCTGGCCTTTCCCCGGGATTGACCACCCACACACAGTGACACCAACCGACCACGACGCAACCTCATCACACGTACATCACACCTAGCACATAACAACACACACCTTGCCTGTCTCGCGTATCCATGTCAGAATGTAGTAGACAACCAAGATCGCGCGCGAATCTACGATCAAAGTGGCCATCCACCCACCACAAAGCGCGTCGTCAGTCTGACAAGCCCGTAAGGCGGGCGCGCACACACATGCACACACACCCTTCCCCCACCAGCCCGCCGCCATCTCCGCGTTCGCCCATCAGCCCAACTAGCTGCCGGCAGAGGCGCGCAGGCGCTCCCTCTTTGAGCAGAGGGAAAAAGCAAGAGCTATCATGAGGACAGAAATAACAAACAGGCCAGCCCGTCCGCCCGCCCGGAGAATAATAAGCAACGAAAGGCCCCGTGGCGCGGTGTCCAACAAACGAACAGGCAGCCCATCGCAAGCCATCCGCGCCTGTGGCAATCGTCTATCTACCACGCAGTATCGTGCATATGATATGTGCTAGTACATGTCCAGTACGTACTCGCAAATGTTGGGCGCCCAATCGTTGTATTGGAGGAGGGGTGAAAGGCCACCGTCACAAGCTCTCCCCACACAAAGGAGATGAGCACACCTACAAAGCCGCCTCAAACGCCTTCGAGCCTATCTCAAGCCCTATCGTTTATCCCTATCGCTGCTGCCGGCCGGCCGGCCGTGGGGGAATGGCCAGCAGTGTTGGTTGGCTCCCTACCTATCTATGTAGGTAGCCTGCCTACCTACCAAGTTCCCCGGCGGATGTCGTCAACCCGCGAAGGCGGTGGGTGACTGAGGTGATTAGAGGCGAGCAACTAGATAGTCACCGCCCTTTCTGATATTCATGCGTTGAATGCACGCAGGGTCGAGTGAACTTAACCGCAATTCGCAAGAGGAAGCGAGAGCAAGGAAGCGATTCAAATGAGTTGCTATTCTTTACTTGAGTTTTGCCTGCTTGTATGTACCGAAGACCTTCACCGACAGTCGTTTGCTGCCGCAAAGCGGAAAACCTGATTCTGGCTAAGCCATCATCCAGCAGCCCAATGTTCCCCTCTACCTCTATCTGAAGGGACGGACACGCGGGGGAGATTGGTGAACCTAAGATGTCGTCAGTGTTGCCCATCTCGTATACCGTTGCTTTTCTGCCTTCACTACTTGACAAAGGGCCAGCCACAACTTGCAAGCATCCTGCTTTTCGGGCAAGCTCTCCGTGACGATTGGTGTTTGATCGTGCTTGTGATGGCTGGCTGGCTGGCTGGTAACAGAGACAACGGAGTGGTCTCGGCATTTCCAGCTACACGTTCCACCTCTCACGACCTATGATCCTTTGTTGCGGTAACTTGTACGTACCGGCTTCAATACAGTAGACCGCTAGACATTGAAGCCAATCAAGCCATAAGTGAATTAACATAGACAATGCAAGCACTTACTGTAGGGCTGCCGGACAAATTCGGTCCGCCATGCTATCTTGAGGACACAATTCCGGGGATTCGCTGTATGTACGTACACTTAATTGCTGGCTATAACAGTTGCTGGCAGGAGTGAAGGGCCTCGGGACAAGTCCGGCGGAGATGCCGGGGAGCTGGACCGAAAGGCTCTTTGCGACTTGTCAACCCCACCCCCTACAACTACAACAGAAGATCCTAAGGCCCAGAAGGTCTTCTGGCTGCTGCTCACATGCGCCATCCAAATCTCAGGGTCCGCTGAAAGCGGGCGCTTCTTACCAAGCTTACCTCAGCAGTAACAAAATATGGAAACTTGTCTCTCTCACGGTCGCCCTGTGCTATGGTAAGTGCAAGTCGAGGTTCACTAACTTACTTGCCTAGCTGGGAACTATTTAGCACGACCCTCAGTGAGGATCTGGAACTCGTCCCTGTCTAGACCCGGCTGGAGCAAAGCGTCGTTCGCTACTATCCCTAGCACAGATGCTGCGAATGCACTCTGCGCAACACCTGACCTGCTTCATGCTTCGTGCTTCATGCCCTTATGCCGCGCAGTTTTTCTCGCTCGTTCGCCTGCTGGTAGCGGGATCGTGACTCCCACTCAATCAGGCCCCGCGCCAGAGCTCATTAGGCTCAGTCGAAGACCTGCAGAAGTGTCGTGCTTTTGACTTCGGGCCATGTGAGCAAGAGCCCCTCGAGTCCACTCGTGAGGACAGAAGAGGGGCAAGGCTGTGGTGTGTCACTCGTGTGTGTCGTGATTTTTTTTTCTTTGGCTTCCTCCTCCTCAGTCCGAGTGAACTTCTGCCTTGTAACCGCATAACCGTATCCGCCCATGCTGGCATGATAGACCCTTAGGCACTAGTCCTGCTGGACGTAGTCACGGGGCCAGAGCCCGACCGCAATGGAGGGCCGGCCTACGTGGTCATTGTGCGTCCTGCTCGAGGCTTGCTTGCTCTGCTCTGCTCTGCTTTGCTTCGCTGTCAGAAGTGGTCCCGCCTTGTGGTGAGAGGGACAAGACGGTTAGACGGTGGACGGAAAGTAGGAGGGATGGATGGCCGGTGCGACACACCGTCGCTTGCCCGGTCTCACCAAACCACGACGACCCCTGTGTGACGTTGACGGTCAACAAGGGAAAACCGTCGAGGTCAAGGAGGGCCGTATGACAGCCCGGGCCGTCGTGCAGCGAGGTGGGCTCGGTGAGGCTCACGCCGTGCTAGCAATAATGGGATGGATGGATGGCCGAGGACAGTCGATGGTTACAATACCCCCATACATACATACCACAGCGGATTGATGATTTAAAAATGCCAGCGACTCATTTGGCGGTACGGTATACGAGTTCTACGAAGAGGCCCATCGTGCCTGTTGGCAATCTCCTCGAGCCACGGGACTGTGGTTTGTGAGGTAGCATATGACACGCTCTCCCGTCGCCCATCAATATGTCTGGAGAAGCCAAGGTCCTCCATATTAGCCATCACCTACGGTACGTATGCTATACTCTCCGTAGGGAAATCTCTGAAGCGCATGTGCCCAGGAACGGAACATCCAGGTGCTCTGGGCCGCATATTAAACAGGCTCGGTACGGTACAGCACTGAGCAGCTGCTCCGGGACGCGAGCTTTTTAGCATCTGACACGCATTTGGGAGGGCGGACACTCACTACCGGCGGTAAAGAATGCATCTTTCCATAAAGCCCATCAGTCAGTCAGTCAGTCAGTCAGTCAGTACCTACCTAGGTACCCGGGTATGTACGTGCGCACTCCCACACACATAGCGGTCGCTACTACATGACGACCAGCAGCACAGTAGATGAACCGTGAGGGCATAGTAATCGCACCAAGAGGAGTCATTCTATCTACCGGTATGTTGCTTCTCCTTCGCTCTAGGACCACATGCTCCATGAGCCCAATCTAGCTGCATTGGCTCTAGAAGAAACAGAGGAGCGCGAATTCCCACTCTTCAGATTGCCAGTCCACATGGGAAGGCGGTGCCACGGCTGTATTATGGAGAGAGCTAAGCAAACTCTTCCCGCCGTCAAAGTGGGCATCTATCTGCCTACGCACGCGCTCGAGCAAGAAGACCCTACTTCTCCAGCCATCTGTCCACTCAAATCAGGGCTCTTTATAAGCCGGAATCACTGGAAACAAAGTCCTTACTCACAGTTCACGTAGCAGGAGTCATTTGTGTAGTTTTGATTATTTTTATTAAAACTCTTTTGAGGGTCGCTTTTCTATTTTTTTTTTAAGGTACCTCATTCATTCGTAGGGTTTTGGTCCGCTTTTCCGGGTCCCAATGTGACCAACAACAACTAACTGCCAACACACACATTTGCGCGCGCTCTTTAAGCTGGGATGAGGGATGGGGTGTGGTGGCTCAGAGCTTGTCATCAAACCCTGGACCAACCCCTCCGAGCTTTTCCCGCTTTTTTTTCACAAGCAAAACGAACGCACTGATGAGCGCCGTCGGATATCTCCTTTTGGCTCCTCACCCCTCTCTTCTTCTCTAGCTTCGCCGAGTTTGACCGGAGGGAGAGGCGTACGGTCGCCCGTTACCCGCCTCCCTCTGTTGATGTGCATTGTGTAGATACACAAAATCTGTTCCATCTTTGCCTTGTGATGAAACCCCGTGCCGGACCCAGTAGAGAGTAGTAATAAATAGAGAAAAAAAAAAAAAAACAGCAAAGAACATATGTTGCAGACCATGGTATCATTCGAAGAGAGAGCAACGCCGGCCCGTATGGTATGATTGATGATGACAAGCGATAAACGCACGGTGGAACATGAAAATGATCATCATCGGCCGTCCCGATGATGGAAAGGCCGAAAGATGCAATGCATTGTTTGTGTGTGTGCAAGCCGGACCGATGCGTATTGAAAACAAGAAACAACGCCTGCCAGCCATGCATCAGGCCGTCTGTAGACGGCCGCCTCGCAATGCTTTGAAGATGTGAATAAATAGTACAGGGCAAGCTTTTTGGTGCTGCCGAACTCATGCCAATTGGCTCCCGTTTTTGGGGGTATCATTTTTTGATGCGCGTATGCAGATGTCGTAATATGGGATTATGGTGTAAGTTGTAGGTGATTAGATTTGATTGATTACCAGCCTTTGGAGTGATAGCCACTGAAGGCCTCCTTGGCGAAGTACTGGTCCCAGCTGCTTGCGTTGACGTCGTTGTCAGCTCTGTTCATGTAGGGCACCTCGGGATACTGCTTGAGGTTGGCGACATCGTGGGAGGTGTGGCGACGCTTGAGGACAGCATTTGCTGTCGACGATTTCTGCGAGCGCTCCCAGACGAGATGACGGCGAAGCGATTCGGTTAGCTCAGTGGAGAGCATGTTGCGGCGAGTGGTGCGCGGGGACAGCGCGGCCTGGTGTCCAATGTTGTTGGTGGTTGTCATGATGGGCTGTGCAGCAGATCGCGGGACCTCGTTGATAGGTCGCAGCGGTGCCTGGCGCATGCCTCTCTTCATCATGAGAGGAGCCTCATCAGAGTCATTGGGCGAAGCTACCAGTGTAGGGCGGTGCAGCGAGGATCTGGGGCCGTGGAGAGCGGAAGTGGACTGCGATGCTGTGTTACCGAGCTTCTTGGAGCGATCACCCTGCTCTAGCATGAGGGTGATCAGAGATCGGCGGGAAGTCAAGTTGGGCTTCGAGTCGACGCGCTGGAAGAACGTCTTCTCGTCAATGCTGGACTTGCCGCTATCCTCAATGGAATCTTCCCAGTCAGAAGAGTCGTCATCATCGTCGATCGCGCTCTCATCAACATAGTCGTCAGAGTTGTCCTCGTCAATGACAGCTGACGGAATGGTTCGAGTGATGACCTGGTTAGCAAACGAGGTTTGCTTCTTCTGAGCGTTTAGCAGAGAGCTGCGATGAGACGAAGCCAGAGCGCTCCTGAGAGAGCTGTCCTCCTCTGATGAGCCACCAACCTGGAACATCTTCCTCTTCGGTTGAGGCTGAGGAACAGGTAATCGGCGTTGCACCTCCAGGCTGTGGGCGTGGTCGCTGTATGATTCCTCTCCAGATCCAGAAGAGCCGCCAAGAGCAAACTTGGCTCCGGTCTTCTTGGGCTGGACAAACTTCGCAGCAGGTGAAGAGCTCGGCTCGGGGATGACATCCGATGCCGCTGGCTTGGAGATGGTTGTAAAGGCCTGAGCAGGAGGTAGCTGAGAGGGTGAAAACCCACGGACGATGGTGGTACGGCTCTGTGAAGTGGGCAGCTCTGGGGAGTCTGGCTGCTGAGAAGACTCTGAGGGCGTGTCGGAGGTCTTGCAGGGTGATTCGGTGGTAGTAGAACCAGACCGTTCCAGTGTAGGTGGGGTTTCCAGCACCTTCTCAGTCTCGGGAGTCGGATAGGACGGGGTGATGTCTGGGAGAGGAGCTGTGAAAGGCTCCTTTTGCTCGACAATTGACACTACCATCTTCTCCAGGTCGTCGGAGGTGATGTGGCGTTCTCGACCTCGGCTTCGACTACTAGCGCAGGAATCTTGCCTCCGTATCCTCGGTCGCAGAATGTCGACAGGGGCGGCATCTGAAGAGAACTCGACGGCCTCCTCCTCCTCAACGGAGTCGAGGCTGCCAGATAGTTGAGGCATGTCCTCTGCGGAGGACCGGCGCGGCTGCTGAATATCCCTGGGGAGACTGGTGGCTGCAGGAGCGGTGGCAGGGCCATTACCGCCTTCGCAGCAGAACGTTTCCCTCGTCCACAATCTCCAGCTGAGGTTTTCTAGTCTGCGGCCCTGGTGAACAGAGTCGGCGCATCTTGCAAATACTGTGGCACTGGTGTCAGTCTGGGACGCAAAGGATAAAGTATGTGGCGACGGGCTCACCTGTCCACATGCTGAACAAGTTCTGCGGATTTGAAGTGTCGACCTTGTGGATCACATTAGCGTCCACCTGGAGGACAGGTGTTTCTAATGTTGAAGGCATTATGTCGAAGTCGGACTGCTCGAAGGATCGAGCAGGCGAGGAGGGTTGTTCAGAACGAATTTTGACGGAGTTATTCGCGAGACGATCGCGAATGTCGACACCTTCGCAAAGTGAATTCGTAATAGTTGTTGTTGAATAATTATGATCGTCGCCGAGAGCAGATTGCTGCCAATGGGCCTCGCTGGTCTGCGTTGGTTCGAATTCGTGTCTCTTGTTCGCAACAGTGAGTGAAGACGATATTCGCGCGGTGCAGTGAGGCGGGTCCTCTAGACGGATGCGGAATATAGAGATGGCGCTGGGTGATGCGATTGATCTCGATCTCGAGTTCTGCTCTCTGCTGTGGAGAGAAGCACTTGCAGATTGTCAAGGTAGACTATTTGACTATCTGACTGTCTGACCGGTGAAGGTGAAGAGTCGTGGAGTTGTTGTGTGTTGTTTTGTGGAGGGAAAGGGAAGGAGAGTAGATGGTGCGGTGGGGAGTGCGGATGTAGATGTAATTATTGCCGTTTGGTTGGGCCGATGTATCTCAGGTTGGAGTAGGGAGAGCGAGGTACATGGGAAAAAGGCCCGCCGGGGGGGGGGAGAACAGACGGACGGGCCCTGCGTGGGTGGTGGGATGGGGAGAGTCGCGGTGAGGTAAAAGCAACTAACAGACACCCCAGCGCAGCGCAGCTATGGGCCAAAACCCTGGCTGGGCTGGGCTGGGTGATGGGTACACGGTACACGGTACAAGGCGTCATGGGGGGTACGTACCGATGGAAGTACCCCGGTACTCAAGTACTCAGGTACCCAAGTACCCCCGTACCTCTCCCCTCCCTCCCTCCTCCCTCTCTCCCTCCTTCCGTCCACCTCACTCATTCAGGGATCCATCTCCCTCTGGAACCCCCGAGAGCAGCCCAGGTACTTACTACACCGAAGCCCAGAGCAGAGGCGGGACCCCCTGTCCAGCAGTGTGTAATGGAGGGTGGTGGCGGAGAGAGTCTGGTCAAGTGTGATTCCCAGGGGCCGACCTATGTCGTGGAAGGCGGTACCGCTCTACCGAATTACCGCCGTCGCCCATGTGAAGAGAGCAAGCAACCACCGTCCAGACTGGTCTTGTTCTGCCCGAGTAAGTTACCGCAGAATGTGATGGCCAGCTTGCCAGCTAACCAATTCACTACGGTAGCTACGAGCATTTGCGATCCTTCTCACGCAACTCGCTGCCGCCTCTCCACGCCAGCCCGGCAAGTCAAGCGATGGCTTCATACAAGAACTGTCTGGATAGGACAGTCACCTCTCGCGCTGGGGGCCAAACAGGAGGCAAGGGCCAACACTTGCCCCTTCCTGGTGCTACATTTGTTTGCATCGATGCCTCATGTGAACAACGCAGGGCCAGTCAACATGGGCTCGCCGTGCTTTGGGAATCGATGGCCCAAATCTGGGGCCGGGGAAGCTTCGGCACGTAACAGCAGGATAATTAAAGACTGATCCCTCAGTCTCTGTCACTGCCTGTGACGAACAAGGCGCCAGATTGTGTGCGTGTGCGCCGCTCGCGCATGTACATTGCCGTCTGCGGATAGTCTGTGTTTTGGCCGGGAGAGGCGCTGTTCCGAAAACGACAGTACCCAGGGTCCTGGCAGCCCGCAGGAATGCAGCACACTACGCCATCTGGCATAGCTCGGTACTCACGACTAGACCACTTCGGGCAGCATCTCGAACGTGGGGCTCCATCCTCTTCTGCTCGGGATCTCCTCGGTCACATGATGGATCTTCCCCCTACGCAATAGCCGGCCACGCAAACGCTCTGGCCCGGTGTCAGAGGAATCCTCTCCCGAGGGCCAGTATTACCCAGATTGGCAAACTATTACCCAGAGCGGAATGACGGCTCTTTTGGGGTCGTTCCTCGGGCCAGCCTCACTGCGGAGCAGCCACGAGGACACTGCTGCTGGGTCCGCCAGGGCACCTAGAGCCTGCCAGGCCTGTCTGGGTCGCAAGTCACTGCCAGGCGCCGCCGTTCATCCCCCGAAAACGGTTTCTTTCGAGTCAGGCAGGGCGTGCTGGTCGCCAAACAGGAAGTCAGGTGCACCAGCTTCCCGGCCCTCCTCATCCCAAGCTGGGGAATCCAGGCCCTTTTCCCCGAACGAATCGTCACCAACACTACCGGAATAGGCGTTGCCAGATCCCTCAGCCAGCCTGGGAGCATGAATCCGCCTACAGCGCATCTCGTTCTCGCGGTGCTGCGACAAGCCATATCAAATCAAGTTCATCGGGGGCAGATGATCACGAGCAAGCTCGCTTCCCCAGACTCAGCGCCGTTCCTTGTACCCGTACCAAGGAACAATCATCGTGCTTCTATGTATTTTTAATTGATTGCTATTTGCAGTCGCAAATTGGGGTTGGCATCTCGACTTGTCACAGTCTGCTGCGCGTTTCTTCACCTCTCATTGCGCAGACTACGCTGCAATTTCGCACCAATTGCAGGCCCTGCGACGGTCCTGGAGACCTCAAATTGCGTGTGAAATCGAGGTCAATTCGTCGGTCAGGAATGCCTCTGGTCGAATCGACCGGCGGCAACATGTGCTTTGCTGACTCGCTGGGATGTGACATGCGTTGACTGGCTGGAACGCTGGCCGGGAGGCCTGGGGCCTTCGCCCCAAGTTTGCACCTCGTGACGAGAAACTCGTTAGTCCAGCACGTCCCGTTTGCCGCGGGCAGCCCAGCTCGCAACAATAGCGAACGTGATATTGCCGACTATTATCTCTCAGCCGACGATCAATTTGGCTCTGTCCTCATGCTCAGCATCGTTTGCCCACGCCATTGACATTGCTCGACAGGCGACACGGGACCTAAAGCAGCCTAGGCAGCCACATGCACGTCCTTGTTATCGATGTTTCCTCCATCTTCAATGGACGAGCGCGCTGTCCCTGGAGCACCTCTCAATACCAATCTCTAGACAAACTATGACAGTAACATACACTTCCCCATATTTACAGAATGACTGATAACGCCTCTCGCCTAAGTATGGGGGGTCGAGGTCAGGTGTGCTGTGAACGGCAGCAGAAACCTACGCGTTCCCAAAATCGTGGGGGCCAACAATTGTAGCCTCCCTGTTCAAGGGGCTTGAAACGTTGCACGTCTTTCCCCTCCTTTGCCTCACGTCCAGAGGAGATGTCACTATTGACCAGCAACACAATACTTGAATCCTGAATAGCTATCAGTGTTGCAGTGCTATCAGGTTAGGAGTCAGAAGAGTGTTTGCTTTTCCCTCAAACAGTCCTAGTCAGGCAAACGGGTGAACCGATTCGTCACATTTCACCTCTCTCGGTATGGCTATCTAAGTATAGAGCCCTTGATCTCTATACACGCCAAACTTGAAGTCCTCTGGAACCCCACGCCGAGAGGTGGTGATTACCACCGTTTGCAACAAACGCCTATCCAGCTCGAGCATGGACTGCTACCCATGGCACACGTGCTGCTCAGCCTTCCCAAGAGAGGCTAACGTGGTAGCGTGGCCCCCGCGGCGGGAGTCGCCGGGAGCCATTTGCGGCAGGCCCCTATTACCCCCGTCTCTTCACCTCACTGCGTGCAGCGGGAGGAACCTCGGTGGCTGGCCAGGGAAGGTGTGCCGAAACAACAAACCGAAAGCCATTGCATTTTCGGCCCCGAACGGCGCGCACCCATGATAGACGTAGACGTTATTATTATCTCGTGTCGACAATACATTTCCCGACGTGCATCTGGAGTATCGCAATACTGACCCTTGTTTTCGCAATGGGACCGGGACACCGGAAGTAAATTAGCAAGACCACTTTCATGGGCTTCAGGCGTCACTAGCTTGTCCCAGCAGCATGGGCTGATACTCCAGAGTTTTGCGCTTCCCAAAGAGCTGGTAGGATCGCCATCGCTTCTAGCAGGCCTGGCAATCTCGGGGCATCCAAAAGCAGTAGCAAAAGAAAGTTAGCAGCGGGGAAGGCGGATAGGCAGACTTGTGGCTGACGCCGTACTTGACCCCATGACTATGTCTCGAAGCCACGGACGGTGAACCATAAGCACCGTATTACCATGCCATCCCGCCTTTGCGTCATCTTAGAGACAGAATGACTGAGAGGAGCTATGGTAAATTTGCAGTTCGGTGCTGCTGACCAAATGCTGGCGCTGCAAGCGGTCCTGCATCGCAAACAACTACCTAGGTTCCTAGCTTAGCTGCCAGTGATCCTTCCCTGCGCCGTACCCGTGCCGCAGGCGCAGGAAGTGCAACAGGGCTGCAACGTTCACGATGATACAAGTAGCAGGTTAGGCGTAGATCTTTTAACGCTCTTGTGTCCTAGCCATCGCCAGGGGTGGTTTATCAGTTCCCAGATGCGGGTAAGGAGTGTGGGATCGCGGGAATGGATGTTTGACAGGGGGCAGCGGGGAGCGCTGTGCTGGAAACGGCAGGCGAAGCTGAGACTCTTCGGACAACAAGCGCAAACAGAAGGACAAACAAGCGACACCAGCGAACAACGTTGTGACTGTGCAATTTAATGGGCGCGCCATGCAGTCATCACAAACGCCTTTAACGCCCTTCTCTAATCATATTCTGGCTTCATAAGGGGCAGATGCAAACAAACAGCCACTGGCCAATATCAAGGCGCTGGTGGGACTTCAGCTTTCATGGTCGCAAGATCGTCACCTCACCGTCGGGTTCCTGGGCACAAGGAACCCAGTGGGAAGGCATTCCGCTGGCCGGCGCTGGAAAGCGCAGGAGCACGTATTCGACATGTCGCATTCTCAGACCCCAGACAAACAAATCCCAAAACCATATTGCTGGGACGAAGTTCCGGTGGAGCTGCGTTTTGGGCCAAGCCATTGCAGGGCATGTTTAAATGAGCAGGCGGGCACTACGGGGAGCTATCAGAACTGATAGGTACCCGAATGACAATCCGTGGCCCTGGTGAAGGAGGACATGCCTGATTGGTGGGGCTGATGCGACGGGTTTTCCGGTCCAGAGTCCTGGGACGCTAAAACGCACTCTGAACCCG